CATGTATATTTTAAATAACGTGACGCTAGATACTTTCTATTTGATGACAAATCAACAAGTGTTCTATCCTTTTTGAGAATGACAAAAATAGAAACGATATTCGTATCGACTTGTGTCATCAAATAGAAAGCATGCAAATAAGCGCATTTAGCGGACTTAATAGTTGAGCGCTATTGAGCATAATGAAAGGGATAACATGATATGTGCACAGTGCAGTTCGGCCAAACCACGCTTAAAGATTCATACCTTGACGGAAAAACGAAAAGCGGAAAAACGGAAGTCAATCAGAACTTGCGGAAAGACAGAAGCAGACAAGCAAAACCGCCTACTACTATTGCGAGTTCCAATTGGCTTCCACTTTTCTGCTTTCCGCTTTTTCTTCAAGGTGTGAACCCGCCTAAGGATGTCGTCCCATAGAGTGGAAATGGACAATTTACGAAATCAACACGATAAATTTCAGGGACTTCGTTTTCTTTTTTACGTTTTTTTAAAATCTTTTATGCCCCATTGAGCGAAATAAACGGAAGTGGATCACGCAGAATAATATAAAATCATACTTTTTATGTCATTTACAATACTTGTAATAATAAAAATAGTATTTTAATACAAATATTATAATGTATATCAAAAACTGATAAACATTAGAACTTCTTTAACAGTAAAATATTTTTAACATAATTATAAAACTATCTCATAATTGACTGAAACTTGATTTCGTTTCCGCGTTTATCACTCAATAAGACATAAGAGAAAGAACATAAATGAAATCACAGGTTGCTGATTAATATTTACATTTATATTTACTGTAATCATCGAATCATTTTGCCACTGTGTTCATATTAATGAAAAAGACAAAAAACAGTATAATCAATCGCATTATATCCCAACAAACGAGAATGGATTGAAATGAATTGAAATGGATTCAGATTTTCAGAAATATGACTCACGAACGTTAAAATGATTTTTTTTGATGATTTTCAATCCTGAATGCATTTTTATTCATTTATAGGAATTGCATGGAGCATATCTCTATGTCTTTTAATCTAAAAATAATATTAGCTTTTTCTGTGCAAAAACACACAATTGTGAATATTGTTCAATTCAAAATTTTGAATAGAAAATGCAGTTTTTCAATCCAATTGAATCCAATTGAATCTAATTGAATTTAATTGAATCCAAAAAATTAAATCCAAAAAGAATTCGCTATTTAAAATACACACTCGGATAGAAAAAAATTTCAATCCATTTTAATCCATTTTCGTTGTTGGGATGGACACTAGCTGTAATATATATTGACAGCATATAATATTGAGGTTACGCAACTTTCATTCCGCAAATTGTAACAGCGAAATTACAGCGAAAATAGCGGAACAATTGTGATTCGTCGTGTTAATTCCGCGAGTTCCGTTCCGTTGCCAATGTTCGCTCTATGAAACGGCACTCTAAGGTTTGTTCGCGTCATATGCTCGTGTCATATGTAATTTTTAATTTCTATTCACTTTAATCATAAAACTTATAGTAATGGAACAGGAATAGGACTATCCAACCAATGAGTGAAAAGTATGAGCAAAACTGAAAGATAGAAGATGTATATTTTTGTACTGCTCAATAATTTTTCTTCTTTCTGCCTATGTGCCAATAAGAGGATAGAAGAGGATAGAAAGAAATTTCTGTCCTTTAATCTTGCTCACATTTCGACATTCGTATTCTTCTATTACTATAAGTTCTATGACTTTAGCGCATTAGAGTAAAGGTGCATTTACATGTAAGCGTCAAGTAGCGGAAACAACAATCAATCAATGAGGCGATTTTTACAGTGGCGTAAAAAATATTTTTTATATCACTGCCCGTATCGTCCAGCTAATTGATTGCTGCTTCTGCTGCTTGACGCTTGCATGTGAATGCACTTTTATTCATTCTAATGCACTAAAGTCATAGAACTTGAATAGAACTATTAATAGAAAAGGAATATGGATGTCGAACTGTGAGCAAGCCTAAAGGACAGAAATGTCTTTTTATCCTCTTTCATTCTTTTATTGGCATATGCGCAGAAAGAAGAAAAATTATTAATTTAAAGAAAAATTATTGATTTAAGAAAGTTATTGCACCTTTTTTGGAACATATCAAATCATGCGACGCGAACCAAACCTCTACTTTTGTTCCGCGTTGTCTCTCATGTGTGTGACTACCTCTAACAATGAACCGTGAAACACGGGGCGGAATTCATAGTCCATTTTTATTTTAAAACGTCTTATGCATGATCTATAATGTGCAGTAACAGTAATTGATTAAGGAGTAGTAAAAATCGACCAATCATAGTTGATTATTTTTCTCACATTCAATTATGATTGATCGATTTCTACGCCTACTCCTTAATATACTATGCCCATTGTAGAATGGGCTTAAATATAATGTCTTAAAATGTTAATACAATCCTTGGATTGACTTACTAGATATTTTAAGGTTGACTTAAGAGTCTTAAATGTAAGAATCGACTATAAATACCGATCTGTTTCACGTCATGAAGTTCGTACTGAATCTTTTCTTACACGAGGAAAAGCTTTAATAGCGTATTCGACCCGATCGAGGATTTATAGCAACCTAGATTGGATTAATGTCGTTGTATGCTCTCCTATTGGTAAAATATGTAATATCAATCAATAGTAGAATGTTTGTCAACCTAACCTAAATGGGAGCGAATCCGTTCGAATCGAAAACGCTATAAAATTTTAAGACCGAAGCATAAACTAAACACGACTTTAGTCGGATCTAGAGTTCCTAGAAAAACAAAGTTTGAGCCCCTATTCTAGAAAAATATCGCTTATCGAAAAACGAGGGAAATACTATAGCATACATATATTATAGCATTTCTCTAGTTTTTAATACGTGATACTTTTCAAGAATAAGTCCCTTGGTCATGTTCTCAAAATGTCAAATAAACGTAGTGAGGAGATATGTTCTTAGTGCATGTTCTTTACATGTTCGTACTTAGAAGTTAATTCTACAACGAGGATGAATCGAGACGAATATGTTTGTCTCGAGTATTGCATTATCCCCAATTTTTGTTAAGGGCTTTTTTTCTATACAGCACAGAATTTGTAGCAATATTGTGGCAAAATTTCTGCAACATTGTTGCAACATGTAACAGTGTTGCTGTAATTTTTGTGCAACTTTGTATTGTAGAGGTTGTTTTGATTTCGTTTCACATTTCGTTTCTATTATTCTCCCATCGGCGCCTTTTTTTTAAAGGAGTGCGTGGAACACACACTGGTCATATCATCGTTTGAAATTATATTTTTAAAATTTTATATTTTTATTAAACAGATTATATTTCTTCATAACTATATTATTTCTTTATAATTATAACATTTCCTTATTATGATTATGATTATAATATGAAATATACATTAGTAAAGAATGTTTCGTATTATTTCATGTTTTTTCCATAAGCGCGCCATTTCCTTACATTGTAATTCGTGCTACCATAGTAAGGGCAAGCTAACATGAGCCAATATCGAAAATATGGGCCGATGACCAAGCTCTGTTTTTCTAAGGTCTCTAGCGCATATTTCATCGTTTCATCTTCATGTTCGATCTCCTTCTTTTTATCTTCTTTTTACTCTTTTTACTCTATGGCTTATGACAGATTTCGTAACCTCAATAGTGATAGACTTGAACAAACTTATTAATATTTCATTTCGCGAAGCAGAATACTGTGTTTTCTTACCACATTTTTTCGTATCATACAAAAACACGTCAAATAAGTATATTTTTATCAAGATTCGTGGTGAATTCGTGGTGTGATTCTAAATAATTACAAAGAGGCAAGAGAGTTTAGTTTAGGAGGAATAAAAAGGAGCAAGAAAGTTTAGGAGGAATAAAAAAACATCTTTTTCTCAATAAAATGTCGATGCTATTTCGAAGGATTGTTAGCAAGTTACAAAGAGTTACGTGTCCTCCGTTGAGATATTGCATGACTGTAGAAAATCAAGTAAAAATTGAAGATATCGTTCCAATTATATCTGAGATACAATATGATGACGAAAACAATTTCTATCAAAAGCCTCGGCAAGTATGGCTAGAGAATTTAAATACCATAGAGGAGAAGAAATTGGGTTTAGTTACTTTACACCCACACATCTACGCTGCTGCACCCCGTATTGATATTATTCATCAGAATGTAAGATGGCAGAGAATGTACCGCTGGGTCGTAAGTGTATTGTGTAATTATATTTGTGTCAAGTATTCGATATTTATATCGATATATATTTGTTTACAGTCTTATGCACATACAAAAACACGTGCTGAAGTCCGAGGTGGTGGTAGAAAGCCTTGGCCACAGAAAGGAACAGGACGAGCTCGCCATGGAAGTATACGTTCACCATTGTGGAGAGGTGGTGGAGTAGCGCATGGTCCTCGGTCTCCAACGCCGCACTTTTACATGTTGCCATTTTACACCCGTATAGCAGGTCTTACGGCAACATTATCTGTGAAACTCGCTCAAGATGATTTACATATAATCGATGAATTGGAAATTCCAACGTCGGAACCCTCCTATATAGAGCAGTTAATCGAGGAGAGAAATTGGGGACCATCTGTTCTTTTTATAGACAGCTATGATATTATGCCTACAAATATTACACTAGCTACTGATCAAATTAAGCATGTCAATATAATGCCTCTTTATGGTAAGTGTGAATTGCAACATGCATAAATTTCATACATAAATTTTACGAATTCTGATATCTAACCTAATAATACAAATCACAGCCGTATAAAAATTCACATAGATTAAGTTAAATATGCTTGAGCAATGAATTTTAGAGAGTCTGTATAAATGTGTATAAATCATTTAAATATTCTAAGCTTTCATCTTTATATGTAATTATATCTTATGATTTCAATGAAAACAAGTTTACTCCCAACATTTTAAGATGTTTTTGAACTTATTGAGTTCAGTATCTAAATTAATCAGAATGAAATGATCTTTTAATTAGTAAAGGAGATGCTTATTATCGTCTTCTTTAATGATTCCTAATAAATAACAACATTAATATGTGTCATATACTGAAGCCTTACATCTATTTTTTTTCATGTATATAGGTTTGAACGTATATAGCATGTTGAAACACAACACTCTGGTACTTACGGAAAAAGCAGCTAGACTAATAGAAGAAAAATTACTTTATCATTTACATAGGGCAGACAATAGTCAATTATTACGTCCATTTAAACTTAATCAATAATAAGAAACGATTTTTAGTGAAACTTTGCAATTAGAAACTTATGCATATATATGTATATTACTGATTATATATACAGATTGCATTGCTTGTGTATGTACATATTTTAAGTATTACTTTACAAATTAAATCATTAAAAAATATTAAAGTAAAACAATTTAATTATTGTCATATTATTATTTAACAAATCAATTTTCTATAAGTGTAATTCATTTTCTTCTATAGATGTATCCTTCCTTCTCTTAAGACAATTTGTTATTACATCTGTCATTTCCTCTTTAATATCGGCGTATGTATCATCGACTTTTTTGAAAGTGGCTAAAATTAAAAAATATATATTTTACAGGAAAAATTTTAGCATATACATTCATAACTGACATTGTGACAATTTATGAATCTTACCATAGGATGTGGATCTGTACCAAGCATCTTTTCTCGTACAGCCCATCTTACTTTTGAATGCTTTGCTTCTCCAGGAAAAGATATCCGCTTCCATTCCTCTTGATACTTCTGATAAAGAGCAACAGGGTCACACTTCTTGTTAATATTTTTCTGTATCTCCGATTGTAATCTCCATGGTCGAATAACTGTATACAAATAGCTCGAATATAAAAATGGAAAATCCTTAAAGATTTTAACAAAATTATATATATATATATAT